CGATGGGAGATTCGAGAAAAGGAGGCATTGCGATGAACCCAGAATAATCGCACCCTGAAAAGTCTAGGGCTGGAATGCGAAACCCTCTATGTGGGAGCAGTCTTCCTGTACGTTGGGCTGTTTGTGGGAGGCTTTGGGCTCGATATCGGCGGAGGGGTGAGGCTGCTTGGACTTGAGGTTAGGATTTGGGGTATATCAAGATATTTCAAGGGCTGGGGAATGACTCATCATTTCGTGGCTTCAGTTACTGGTGGTGGGTTTCAATGGTTGCAGGGTTTGCTGTAGCTAGGGCCCTAAGAGATTGAGCACATCAGGCTTGATTTCCTGCATTTGCGCATGGATATCTGGAAGGCACGCCTGTCTCAGAAGAAGTCACATAAAGCTGGTCGGGCCCATGATAAATTGGTTCCCTTCTTCGGGTCCCTGGTGAGGTTCCCATACTAGTGCCCTTTTGAGTGGGCCTTTAATTGCTACAGTGGAATGTACAAGACATGCCTGGGCTAAGCTTTGTCTTGCAACCTGCCATGTCTGAAACAGAAGACGCTTAACCCTAAAGCTTGAGCCTCCTAACCTATAAACCTTAAGGCCCTAAACTCTGAACCCTACCCCTAAGTTCCCCGAGCCCTACAACTCTGAGAGGACACCCGCGGCGAGCTGCCGACGTGGCTGGTCACATCCAGGAGACTCGCACGGACAGATCTGTGAAGGTATGTGATCAATGGCCACGAAGGGATAAAGTCGGCCATGTCAAAGCCAAGCAACACAAGAGCGTATAGATCATGTAATTACAGGCTTACGAAAGCAGGCCACAAGCAGATGTGGGCTCTTGCTTGGAAGGTGTAAGCGGCAGTCTTGCAGCCACAAAGCCACTGAGCTATACCGCCATAGATCCTGAAAGTTTCTTTCGGTTGCTGCTTATAGCGCCCAAATAAAACCTGAACTCTATATAAACCTATAAATCCCAGACCTGCGGATGCATTGCGACGCGTGCCCCAAAGAGCTGTGAAGCAATGTAGGCTTGACATAAAGGCAGCCCTGCTAGTTTCACAGTTTGGGGGTGTGGGACTTCTTGCACAGTTCGGAACCTTGAATGAACATCGCCTCTATCAGAGATGGTAATGTCAGGCGATTCCGGTAGCTCGGTAGCTCCCTGTCCTTCTTCTGCAATGCTTGGGCTCGCCCGGCTTTCCAGTTTCGGGCCGTCGGAGTCGTCGGACGCTTATTTTACATAGTGCTCAAGTCCATAGAAAGCGTTTGAACAGGTACGGCCGTGACCCTCTCAAGCTCGAGCAGCCTCCATTGCTTTAGTGAGACAGTTGGAGGATCGCCGGCACTCAGCAACCATAGATTTCTTCTTCAGGGCTCTGCCTGCCCAGTCCAACCCACAGTCCGACCCGCGATAGTGCTTGTAAAGTCGGGGCGGAGAGCATCAAGCTGTCGTGAGATGAAGTTTTGGTTTCTGGTGTTTAGAGCATCACACCGGCCTTGGCAGGATCGTTTATGATGACTGAATATATTCAGTTCAAGTCCTATGCAACTGTGTGTTCCAAAACTTTAAGTTCGTACATGAGTTCAGAAAATTAGGGCCCAAGCTACTCGGAGTCTCAGTATACAGACCACCCAGAACTTAAAGACCCATGATATGAAGAGCCCTCCGCATGGCCGCCAGGGTGACGGCAACCCTGGTTGCGGCTCCGTCTGCGCCGCTGGGGTTCTGCTGATGACAATGGCCGGTGCGCCCGAGGGCGTGTACATGTGTAAAAGTTTATACATCTCTCTATCTGACGCTATCTATATCTATATATGTATCTCTCTACTTGCCTACCTAGCCACCTACCTGTCCACCTATCGATCAGTCTTTACCATGTTTATAAATCTAAGTGAAGAATTCAGGACTTCGGCCCGTTTGGGCTGCCTGGGAGCTTCGACTTCGACATTAGGTTGTGCATGTCGTTGCAGAAAGGCTCCAGGTTAAGAGGGCTTTAGATCTCCAGGCAGTGGAGTTTAGGGGACGCCGGGAGAATGGGGTGGAGCCCCAGACCCTGAGAAGGAGCTTGGAATCTTGTAGTTACAGAAAGAGGTCCTGGCGAACTCCTTCTCTTGGTTGAGGCTTTCACTTTTCGGTTCGATGGCTTCGAGCTTTGGACTTGGTTGGGCCCATAAACCCGAAAGCTAGAAAACCATGTTAGGAGGACATTCAACAGCCCCCACTCCTGAAGGCTTTCCTGAAGACCGCAAACCGCAGATTTGTAACTTGAAGCCTTCAGCCCTGAGTACCGAGATTCCTCAACCCGAATCCGAAGTCCGCAAGGCATCAACCCCAAAGCTCTGCCCCTAGGCCCTGTAAGCCCTGAACTCTATAAGCCTTGTAAACCCAATGCGAAGCTTGTCCAGGTCTATGCTCTGGCTTTGGCTACAGCGATGCTGACCGCCAAGTAGTCGTTGGAGGTCCCATAGGCCTGGGTTTATGGCGCTTCAGGGCGGGTTTCCGGGTTCAAGGTTTGGGTTTTGGGATTTGGGTCTAGGGTTGTGGGGCTCACGCTTGGCGTCGATGGGGGGCGAGCTGGAAGGGCTATAGGGCTTAAGAGCTCGTTCTACTCTGCAGGCCTCCTCGGTTTAGCTGTCACGTGCACACCCTACACTCGGGATGTCCGAACAAAATGACTCCACTGTACCAGCGCAGACAACGAGGAATCCGGATAGTTTAGGAAGTGTAGTACATCATACCAACACCAATATTGTTGTCGTGATTGTCATGGCTGTTTCTATGGACAATGTATATAATTACTTGTTACGGGTATACCTTTTTTTGTAGCTCCTTCATTTTGCAAAGCGTTCTTGCCATTTCATCCTAGCCTGCCTTCCTAACCCCGACACGCAGAGTCCGGAACAAACGTGCTGCCGCCAGCAGCCCGAAGCCGGAGCTCTTGTGGCTGGGAGTGCCATTTCGGAGTTCGCTCCAACAGGTGCCCCAGAGCCTGGAAAGAAGATCATGCCTAGACTAAAACCCTGAAAGTCCTGACCGAGATATTCTGGATTCCTCGCTCTCCAAAGCTTTCAGTAGCAGCGAACCGTGCAGGCATCGCTTGCGTTGCTGCCTGCGGCCCAGTTCCACTCCGAGAAAGACTTGAAGTTTCGGGGCGTAGGTTTGAGATCGTGGGGGATTTGATCGGGCTCAGGCTCGGAGTTTGCTTCTCAATTATGCAGCGGGATTACGGGTTCACATAGTCGAGCTTACAAGGTTCTGGCATTCAGCCGGCTCGCTACGACCTCCAAGCTATCCTGGCTTCTCTTTATCGTTCCCCTGCCGAATCCGAAGCCCTAGACGACAACAGCTAGAAGTCACAACCGCTGCTGCGAAGCAAGCAGCCTGAGCCATTGTAGCTCCATGCGTACACCCAGTACCAGAAGAAGCTCGATTGCCTAAATGCGCACCCGCGGTTTCTGACCTTACCCATAGCTCTACTGGCAGAATTCTCACTTTGCACTCGGGTCAATGCAGCCCCAAAGATCGAAACACCGTTACCAACGTGAATGACATCAGCAACAGGAAGACTTGTTTATTTTGTTGCTTCGCGGGAGCAACAGCGGCGTCAGGCCTCAGCGAAACTGCCGAGGGTCGCGTTCTGCAAGGCTGTGCGTGTGCATGGCAATGGCACTCTTTTGTCGATAATCAGGGGCGTCTTGCCGCAACCGTGTCATTCGGCTGTTGTATATATATATATATATATATATAGGCTCGCAGCGGCTTGTGGCTTCCGCAGTCCCGTGGCCTTTCTGGGTGCAGTCCTCCCAATATGACCGACGTCGACAGTGGGGTGGTCAAAGTCAACCCTTTCGAGCTTGAGGCTCGAAGTTACAACATGAATTTGATTTCGTCTTTGTGGCCTCTCTTTCACACGAACTCTCCGGCTCTATAGACCCCTAACCGTATCTCGCTTGTCAGGCCACCTGGCGTCTCGAAGCAGACGAGGTTGCACACAAGAAGAAAGGAGAAGGTGTTGTCACACGTGCGCTCCGGCTCTGGGGGCACGACTTTCAGCTTCAATTCTTTCCCCACGGAGAAAAGAGCGCACAAGAAGGTGTCTGCAGCTTGTTCATCCGGTCCAAGGTCACCCTTGATGTGGATTTGGACCTTGCTGGAGCGAGATGCTGCACTGAAATCACAGAAGGGAGGCTCTCACAGCTAAACACTGGGGCCATTGATGGTGTTGGATGTGTAAACTTCTGCGAAACCCCTGACTTAGCCAGTCCAGTTGAAATACGGGTCCAGTTCAAGCACATCGACGGCAAGGATGCCAAGACGCTTGCGGAGGGAGCAGAGGTCCGGGCCGCAAAGTTCCGAGCAGCGGTCACAAAGATCCAGGCCGTGTGGCGTGGGGGTAACATCCGGCGACGGGAGGCGCTTCGGCACGCGGACGAGCGGCGGCGCCGCCGCCAATCCCGTGAGCTGAATGCGGCCCTGTGCCTGCAGCTGGCGTGGCGCCTGTACCAGCGACGCCTGCAGCGCCGTTGGCACAGCAAGATGGTGCAGGCGCAGAGCACTCCGTACGACGCCATCCTTGCCTTTGAGTCGTTGTCGCAGTTCCTGTCGACGGGGGATATCCGGTTCCTGCAGCACGCGGAGTCCAAGCTGCAGGTAGCGAGCGCCGCCAGGTTCCGCATCGTCGCAGTGGTTGGCCTCTTTGACAAGGGCAAGACCTTCCTGATCAACAAGCTCTTCAGGGTGAACCTGCCTTCCGGGAAGCTCCACACCACCAAGGGCTTGAGCTTTCTTTGGATTGAGGAGCGTCGGATGCTGGTCCTGGACTCCGCAGGAGTGCAGTCCACGGTGTCCTACCGTGCCCAAGCGGTGCAGGATGCCATCTTGGATGCACAGACCACGGAGTCCCTGGTGTTCGAGATGATCTCGCGCATCGCGCACCACATGATCTTCGTGGTCAACGACCTGACCTGGTTCGAGCAAAAGTACGTGGCCATGTTGCACCAGAAGTACGTGCAGGGCAGGCAGCAAAAAGAGCTGGTCGTGGTGCACAACCTTCGGAACACCACCGAGATCCAAGAGGCCTGCAAGCTGTTCAGCCGCCAGGTGACACGCTGCTACGACGGCGAGCAATCCCACCTGGGCGAACTCATTTTTACACAGGATGCCGGAGCGGGTGCCCCACCTTTACACCACATCGGCCTCTGCTACGAGTTCTCCAAGGCAGGTGATGCTTTCAACGAGAAGAACCGGCAGCACCTCCTGCAGAGCTTGGAGCATCGCAACAGCCTCGGTTCCGAGCTCGTCCTCGCAGACATCTTGACGGCAGAGCTCGCCCGGCTCCTGCCGCGCTTCGTCAACATCGAGGCCAGGTGCCCGGAGAGCTCCGTGTGCAGCTCTGACCAGGCTATCGGCGTGGAGTTCTGCGATGCACAGCAACCTACTTCCGGAGACGAGTGCCTTAAGGCGGGGTACAACTGTGTGGGCGTCCTGCGCATGAATCTCTCGCAGGAGGGGGCCCGTGTGGCCATGAAGACCCGCGGGGTGATCTCTCCTTTGGGCGAGATCATCGCTCACGACGTCAGCTTCGACCCCATCGTGAACGTCTATGACCGGACTACCACACATGGCACCAGCCGAATCATCCGCATTGAGTGCCCCGGGGTTACAGAAGAAGACGTGGAGTGGGAGGAGCTGCCCAACGGCGTGAAGATCAGCGTGGACAAAAAGCGGCCGATTGACGAGCATGCCGTGCAGCCCGTGCAGCCCATCCGCCAGCACCATGGTGTGTGGGAGCAGGAGTTCTCTTTCGACTACTCCGAAGGCCGCTTCGAGCTTAGTCCTGAAGAAGCCACATTCGAGAACGGGGTGCTCACAGTGGTGCTGAAGAAGGCCGCGCAGCCGCGTCGCGGCAAGTTTGGGCAAGTTGGTGATAAGGGTCGCAGCCACATGGTCGCCCGTGACCCGGATGCACAAGCCCCTTCTCCGGTCCCGTCGTGCAGCTCTTTTTCGGTCCTCACTGCTGGCGGAGCATGAGTGAATGTGCGCGGGCTCTTCCAAGAGGCACAGCTACTGCACGGCTGGCCCATGCAAAATTCAAAATTAGTGACACATGATGTATTCAGTTCTAGTCCCGGCAAATCTTGAGGTGCAGGAGGGTTTTCACTCTGGCAGATTCGTCGCAGAGTCAGCCTTTGAGGCTTGCGACTTGCGACGGTGTGAGACTGCCATGCAGAAGCCAGTGGCATCCACCCTGCCTCTGCACATGCTAGTAGCTGCCAGTACACAAACGTAGCCAGGCAGGCTGCCTTCAATGTGTGTTCTGTTCCATCAACACACATCCGTTCAGGGTCGGCCGCATGATGCTGAGACTTCTCGAGGAAACAGATGCGATAGAGATAGCTGCTCGATCAACATCACTGCGCCAGTCCGGTCCATGCATGCTGACAGAATATCATGGTAGCAAAGGTTCAACAAATGCCACGGAATGTCGTACCTCTCGATTGCCCTTGTGAAGGTTATGCTTTGGCACGACATCCCCCTCAACTTCCTGCCTGATTTCGTCGAGGTGCATCCCTGCACATGCTGGCCATGACGAAGAAGCACATGAGAAGCAACCCAACATGGAAGCAACACAGTAGTAAATTAACTACTGACGTCATGATCTGTTATGCTCCTTGCACAATCTGATGGCATCGTTTGGCCCGAAACTCTTCATGTTGGCCTCTTTCCAGCCAATTCCGCCCTTGCTTTCCCAGCATGCCCATCGCCTTAGCTATTACGACTCGGCAGGGATCGCAAAACCTCCCGCATGACTCGCGCTGCCGGGAGGCCTGAGCCACGAACGCAGGCGAGCCATGGCCAGAGAAGGCCAGCCCGTCCGGGGGTCCGGGTTTAAGATACCATGGCAGAGGGGCGGTACCTCAGGGCGCATGGTGTTTAGGGGATTTGGGGATTGGACGTAGGGGTGCGGGGAGGGCCTTTACCGTCAGAACCACTCAGTCGTCATCGGTTGATCATGTCGTGACAATGCCTGGCAACAAACAGCCACCCAGCAGGTCTTCACAGTCCCCAGTGAACGAATTGACCTGTAGTCCTGTCCTGCGTCGCCTAAGATCCTAGACTACTAGACTGTGACCTCCTTCAATTTTCCGAGCTCTCTGCATGGGAGCAGTCTTCCTGCACGTTGGGATCTTTGTGGCAGGATGTGACTCGACGGAATCTGGCTCTATTCGATTGTTTGGCTGAGGTTAGGCTATGTCGCAACAACCCCGGCGTGCCAAACAAACTTCTGAGCATGAATCTTTCGTCTCACGTGTCCAGGACCACTTCAAGGCGAAACGCAATCATCATTTGTGAAGTATAGTGCTCTTTCCAAGGTACCCAGCGACACATGACAACACCCGGCATGAACCCGAATGCAGTTCAGCTCAAGGCCAATCCCTACATCCGGATGGGTAGTTCGCTAAATTCCTTTTTGTTGCGGGCCTGGTTCCCGAAAGAGTGCGTCACTCTTAAAATAACACGGGCATTTCTAGTGATCCCAGTTTAGGGAACTACCCCGGAGGACTGTTTCTTCAACTTCTGGTTTCCCATGTGACTTGAATGCAAAGACTTGACTGAGGGCGGGGATGGAGCAGATGATAAGCGTTTCTCGGATGCGGATTTGTGGTTCTAGCTTTTGGAGTTTCGGCTTTTGGATTGAGGATGCTGGGTATGATATTCGTTTGAGCGTAAGACTGAGTAAAGCTGGGTTTGAAGAATTCGTGAACCTTTTTTCTCTCAGGGTCGCTGTGCAATTATGGTATAGTATACACCTGGTAGTTGTGAAAGGCCTGAGGTTGATGCTTGAGGTCCCCTAAACGCCCAAGAACTCTAAACCTACCTAGGACCTATGTAGGTCTAGAGGGGCACACTTCCCTGGTAAGGGTTTTCTGGTTTTGGTAGCCTACACCTACACCCACGAAAACCTGTCCCGAGCGCTTTGCACACCTTAGTCCGGATATTTCATCTTTGTGATTTTTTTTGTAGGCCAACACCCCAATGCCTCCGGACATCAGAGCCCCCAGACCCCAAACCCAAATCCCTGGAGCCCACCACTCGCCACCATGGAGCCAGCAGCGCTGAATCAGATTCGGAATCTCTGAGGTCTTCGAGTTGAACGATAGCCATCTCTGGATGCTGTTCCGAAGCTGCTGGATCGCCTGGGAAGGCCGGACACGAAGAACTGATGCTACCCGTGGCATCTTAGGGGAGAGCGTGACAACTACAGCTTGCGGGCTCAGATCACACTGCTTTTTTAGAGCCATCAAGGAAATGTCGCATCATGCACGTCACTTAAACGAAACTCATGACTGGTTCGGAGTTGCTCCCTAAGACCGACAGACCCTAAAACCAGGAATGTAGCAGCCTAAATGATGACCAGTATTATTATTCTCGGGCTCCTGATTACATCTATATGGTCTTATGTCATATTATATATATATATATGTATATATACCCACCCAAAGTCTCTTTTAAGTAAACAGGCCGCTTGGGTAAGCTTCTCGTTTCTTACGCAGGGTCCGGGCCTGAAGACTGAGACCTCCGCCGGTGCAAGCCAAAAGTCCTCACATGGAGGCCTCCAGGAGAATAACTCATGCTAAAGTGTAATCGGTTTCGATATGTCTTTTCACGTCTCAGTGCTTGTGTTGAGTTGTGGATGCGATGAATTTTCAGATTCTCAAGGACCTGTCTTAGCTTGAGGAGAGATGGGTGCCGGAGGTTCCTCTCCTGTGAAGGCCATGGCAGAGATGTCCGTCGAGGAGCGACAGTGGGAGAAAGCTACGGTGGACGAGGCGACGCGCATGCGCTTGAACGGTGAGTCGGCACGATGCATGGCGCACATCCGCGCCATCAAGAAGGCAGGAGGTGTGTCACTCAAGGAATCCGACGGCTCGGACACAAGCAAGGATCAAGCATGGACGACCGATGAGTCAGGCTTGTCAGTATGTGCCGCTCGCTACTGCATGATCACCACTGCTCTTTGGATGCTCCCGAAGATGCTAGTCCTTTTTCTACCTGTTCTTCTGCTCCAAATTCCGGGAGTCGCCTTGGTGAGATGCTACGTGGCATGTCTCAAGCCTGGAACCGAGTCCATCGAACGCACTGCCATGTTTTGGCTCTCCTTCGCGGTGGTGTTCTTCCTCTACCTTCCCGCTGGCATCCTGGCTCTTGTGTCGCTGATGTTGGACTACGATCCTCCACTGTCCTTAAGGTATATAGTCTTTTGTTTTGGGTGCTTTTTTTGTAGATGCGGACCCAGAAAGAAGTCTTTAGCTTCCTTTCCGGGAAGAGTGAAGGTCTTCTATTGGATCTTCGGCATCACCTTCTGCGTTTGCACCTGTCGCTACGGAGCGGTTTGGCGCAGCATGAAGGCGATTCATCCTTACCGGAACGGCCCATGGATCATCTTGCACCTCCCAGACGTTTACGTCTCGGTCATCGGTCAGACCTGCCGTCAAGGAATGCTCGAGGTCATGTGGCTTCTTTCGAACATGTGGCTCATCATGCCCTGGTACAAGTACTACATGAACTGCAACCCGTGGTTGGATGACTTAGACCATCGCTTCGTGAATCAGATCAGCACAACATGGGCAGACATCAACGCAAGCGATCCCACCCGCAGCTCCAAGATCGGCAGGGAGATCATCTCAAGGGCTAAGCACTTCCCGGGCCGTGCTCAGAAGGTAGATCTGTGGCACTTCGTGCCGCACTACCCGTACCCACCGCCTGGGCGGCGCTATGCCATGGGTATGCAACAGGGAGGAAGTGGCATGAAGAGCTGCATGTTGATGGTGCACACCACGCATGCAAACCGTGCAGATGGCAATTGCACGGAGCAGCATGTGGCATCGAATTGTTGCAAAGTGCCCGTCTATCGCGTCATGCTGTGGTACAACAATCCGTACCACCATTTCACTGGTTGGGTGGAGGCTCATCCATCTACGGGTGAACCATCGCAATTGGACAAGGCCGATGGCGGAGAGCATCCCATGTGGCTAGTGGGGTCCAAATCCCCCTTGACCTCGAAGCGCACCAGCATGACTGGGCCAGGGTCCATTGACAAGTTTTTCGATGAATGGATCCCGGTCTTCGCACATGAAGTTCGCTACTCGCACCATCGCATGGAAGGGAAGAGCCATGAAGAGGCCTTGAAGATTGCCAATGAAAAGTACCAGGAGGTGGCTTCAGCTGATGGTATTTCTAGGCCCCTCAAAAAAAAAGGCTTGGACAAGTACAAAGAATCGTCCATGCATGACTACGGCCTTGTATGAAACGGAGAATACCTCTGTGCTCTGTGCCAGTATAGCCTTTGAATGCGGGTTGGTGTTGAATTGCAGCAGCTGCACCGGTCAGTTGCCGATCCAACTGACCCGTCGTTTTCAAGTCCTTTTCTCGTGAGCCGCCGACTGGGCTGCACATGGGGGATGCCCTAACAAAGGGACCGAATCCAAAGCTTGATATGCAAGTAAAAACAAGAGGAGGGCCGAGAAGCCCTCACTGCGGCCTTTTCAGCCCCTGCTGTCTTCTTGCAACATGCCAGGTCTTCGGTATCATGTCAAGGTGTGGAGCATTTATCAATCAGTCAATGACATCTCACTTTCACATGCAGAGGTGTTTCCTGCCGAGTTTAGGTGTTGGGGCTTCGTCAGTGACCGAAGCTGGCCGTAAGCTCTCATGAGAAGCCGCGCAACTCAGCCTGCATCATCGCGACGGGTCAAGTCAGAAACCTTGTGGATTCTAAAGTTGCTACAACGACCAGTGACGATTGGTTCCCAAAGCGCAGGCAGCCTGCCACTGGGTCCTGGACTTGCGCTGGCACCGTGACCAACGCCAGGGGGCCGCAGAGGGTTTAGAGTTCAGGCGTCACACTGCGGAAAAGACGGAGAGAATAGCAACGGGAAGCTGGGAAGTAGGGATCATGTGCGTGTTGCATAGTTCAGGACAAGTCGGTCAAGCGGCGCCAGCATTGGCCCCGTTTCGGAGGAGATAGAGAGCTTAGTCACAACAAGGCTTCGTGAAGATCCTTAGCATAGAGCGGGGATTGACATGTAGAGTTTCAATAAGGAGACTTGGAACAACCGTTGACTTGAGTCCCAGTATCCGAGGATTGTGGACTGCGGTGGGATGGCTTCTGGACTCTTCGTGCGTGCAGGACTGCAGAGTTTGGTGAGAGTTCTGCGGCTCTGCGTTTGGGGTTCAGGCAGGGGTGTGGCAGGTGTGACTGAACTGATGGGACCTGCAGACATGTCCCGGGGTCCTCATTACGATTTCCTTCTGTAGTATATAACATGTCCTCAGTGGGGTAGATTCGGGAGAGTAATCCAACCTGCAGGCTTTGCGATGGTCCGCAAGTTCGTGAAAAAGAAGACCGAAACACGATCGAATCTGAAATGGTTTAGGTTTTATATAGGGTTTAGGATCTGTAGGTTTAGAGTCTTGGGATTTATCGATGTTCAGGTTAGGTTTACGGCGGCCTACAGCGGTTTGGGGCTAGGGCCTTTGGGTTCTCAGCAACAGCCAGGACTGGATGACAGCGTGCGCTGCTGATCGGCACGGACACGGATCTGACTGACGGAGGGGTTCATAGAATGCCGGTTTAGGGCTTTGGGTTTAGGGTTTAGGGTTGGCGCTTGGGATTTCGGGTTTGGGTGTAGTTAGGATGTTGTTCAAAATTCTGGAGCGGCCACCCGAGTCGCAAGAGCTGTCTGGTCTCGTCAAACATTGCTCCATGCCTGACCCCGAGGATCAGAAAACGAAATGCGTACTCAGGAGCTCGTGAGGATGTGCAGCAGAACGGTAGGATTGCTTGCAGCTCAGACGGCATCACGAGACAGGAAAATGCCACAGGCAGAAAGCAGCGCATATACGGGGTGCGGGCTCGGGCTCAACAGCTGATATTTTTATGGAATCGCACCATGTTAGAAGGTTTGCGGTGGCAAAGCGGGACGCCTCGCAATCCGAAGAGCTTCTCCTGGGTAGGCCGTAACCGTTGACTGTGTTTCTCCTTGACATCGTTGTCGTTGTTCCGCTCATCGGAAACCATCATCAGCGATAGCGGCTTCGTCATGATCATGAAAAGTTTCGATGTGCAAAGACGTCCTGTTCATCTCACGTCATCATCTTCTTCATGAGAGCCACCGCTGTAGGGACCACGGCCAGAATCATGCTCGACACCGCCACCGCACGTATCTGAATCCCTTCGAGGTGCTGAAGCTTAACTACAGCAAATACTGACCACAGCCTGCTATTCAGCGATATGTTTCTTAAAGTCCCAAGCCTGCAAGACCTTAGAATACCGAATCGTTGTCTGCCGGTGCACCTGACATGCCTCCCAATGCTAAGTAGTATAATCCGATCCAGCAAGAGGTTTGGCTCAATACAGGATCCTCAAATCTAGCATCTCCTGCAAGTCCTCCAGCCTGAACCCTGCTTGCAGCCTGAAGCCGAGCTACTGACATTTGGATCCCTATACGTCGTGAGCAAGCCGCAACCCTGCAAGCTGGCCAGAGTCACGAAAGCAAAAGGCAAGCGTCAGCAAAGAGAGGACCCGCAGGCCAAACCGTGACTGCTGCAACCCAAGTTTCTGTATCCTACACCCCTACACCATCTCAAACCCTAAGACGCCAAAGCCCAAAGCCTAGAGCATCAATCCGTAGACTCCCCCACGAAGGCTGGCAGCCGCGGCGACTGTCCCCCTGAGGAGAGGAGGCTGTGTGTGTGGTGGTAGCTGTTGCATGGCTCTAGGGATATGGCTTAGGCTTAGACCCAAGAGGTTCCAGTATTGGAGTTTAGAATTTAGGGTTTTAATTCCATAGGGAAAGCGGTCCTCGTACCTGCAAAGCCCAGAACCGAAGACTCCAAGGCTAGAGTCATGAGCCCTTTCATACCCAAAGGGTCCAAGTAATAGCATAGTATATACTGTTGGTGCCCAAATACCTACTAAGTAACTACTGCATTGGTACATGAACCCTTTCATATAGCAGCTGGCTGATACGGTTGAAAGTTGAACCTACGTGTGTGTCCTTTCCTTTTTTCCGGGAATTGCAGGACGGTTTTAGGGGTCGCTTTAGTCCGGCTTCGGGCAATCATGTTTCGGATGTAATTGGGCTTTAAGGGTTGCGGGGTCAGGGTCTAGGGTTTACTGTATAGGGGTTGAGGGTTGTGGGGATTTTTGGTTACAAGTTTAGGGAGTCATGGCACAGGTCCCAGCCCATGCTAGCAGTCTCTCCAGCAGTAGCAGTGGTAATCGTTGTGGTGGTGGTAGATAGCAGGATTGTGCCTCCTAGGCTCTGAACAAGGTATGAAACTGTCAGCAAGCGCTTATACAACCCTGACTAAACTTTGGAAAACGACAACATATTTAGACACCATGTATATAGGCTCACAAATCCTTTGTTCAACAACCGCGTCGCGGGCACACCTCAGTTCGGCTCAAGAGGCGAGAGATCTGAGCCGCATGGTTCAGAGGGCCTCGTCTGCCGGGGCTTGGGCGTAGTTGAATGGGAGTCTTGTTCCATCGAATGGCTTGTGACGACATGGATATGTGCACCTCCATCGGTTCTTCTGGAAAGACAGCTTAGCTCGTGTTGGATCTGGGTATTATAACTATAACTAAAGCCAGATCAGTTGCTTTTTGATGGTGCAGCGTGACCGGGAGTTGGAGTGCAGAAACATGCACAAGATTGGGAAGCACAATGAGATCGTACGCAGCAGAGCCCATAATCGACATTTAAATCGATACATCCCGAGGCTCGGTATATGAGTTTCGGCGCCATGGAGGATCGGTCAACTTTTGCGGCCTATGCGAAGGCGGGGCTAGGAGTTGAGGGAAGCCGATGCTTCTCGTGTAGATTCCTGCTCGTACATCGAAGCTGCCCAGAGCGTTTGGGATGACAATTAACGATGAAGTTCATGATTGCCGTATACGAACGTGATGCTTGCCATGATGATGATGATGATCCTGGTGATGATGGTGATGATGATGATGCAACAGATGATAATTATAAGAATCATAGTGTCAAGGTTGATGTCGACGTTGGTGATGATGACAGCGATGGTCATGGTGATGATGGGGGCGATTATGATGGTGGTGGTGATGGGGAGACTATGGCAGGCGTTGAAGACTGCTGATGTGTGTCAAAAGCGTGAAGATGTTCACGACGATGGAAATGAAGAATGCCGCACCGAACCGCTATGCCACAACAAAAACAGTACCCGGCCCCTTAGACAACCGCTCAACATTTGTCAACATCGAACAAGCTCTTCCCACAGCCTAGAATCCATGTACAGCCCAGACCTATAACATGCTTTCGAAACTCGAGATATGTGATACTTACACCTGAAGGTTCCCATCGTAACTCTTCTATTCTATCCTATGGCCAGAACCCTGTTCTAGTTGTGGAGACCCCTATACCCAAACCTGAACAAAAACCCGAACCCTAGAGCCCTTATCATCGACCCTTTTTGGACAAGCCTTTAAAGGGAGCCCAGCTCTGCTTATAAACATTCTTATAGACCCCTTTGCGTTAACCTATTAGTGGAACCCAATTCTACTAAGGAAGACCCTTCCATTAGTCTTATAGACCCTAAACCCTAAACCCCAAACTCTAAACCCTAAACCCCTTTAGTACTTGTTTAAGACCCCTCTGCTCTCCAGGCACAGCTGCAGCTGGTGGCCCGGAGTTTGAGTTGCTCTTTCGACTCACAGCTCTCTCAACAGCTGCTTCTCGACCTGTTCAGGGCCGTCTACAGGGCCGTCTATAGGGTTATATAAGGGTTCTGGCTTTCTACTGCTTATGGGCTTATAGGGCATATAGAGTTTAGGGTTTGGTTTGATTTTTGTTGAGGATGTCATGGTTTTGCGTGTTTGTTGCTGGAAGGGTGGTTTTTTCTAGTCTGCAGTTGCTTAATCCTGTTGGGGTTTTAGGGTGTGGGGGTTGTTGTGGGGGGTTTAGGGTTAAGGCCAGCACTGCCGGTCTGTGCAGGGTTCCAACCTGGTTGAAGGGTTGTCTAAACATCAGCCTGAATCCTAAACCCTAAATTCTATACAGCTGGATGTTTCTCAAAAGAACTTCGCCGCGGCCACATGTGCAACTTGACCGACCTCCGATCTTTTACATACACTCTCCATCACTTTTTATCATAGGGTTTTCGGTTCAGGGTCCCGGTTTGTAATCCGATTTTGATAGGTCCTCACATCTTCCACGTGTGCCTCAAACTGGCACGAGCAGCCGGTCTGGGATTAGCTACCGAAACAGCTGCAGGCAAAACCCCAAACACAACAGCACTAATGTCTAAATCCTGAGTTCATGACAATGTAGTCCTGAGGTCGTAATTCGACAGCTGAAAGTCCGGGTGCTTCGAGTGACGCCCACACGAGCTTGAGCCCCTAAGGTTTAGCAACGTGGATAGTAAGGAAAGCAAGCCAGACACTAGCCAAAACTCAACCCAGCTCCGATAGCACAACTCGGACAATCAACACGATGCTATTGATCATCCGTAACAACATTAACCGTTTTCATTGCTGGGTGAATGCTGCTGCCCTGTCGAAACGGCTATGCACACATGTGATGCGATGCGAAGGCTCGAGCTCGGTGACCGGCTTGCTTCCTACAGCAAGGCAAAGAGGAATTGGGTTATTGGAGGTTTGGCCTTGCGGATTCGGGTTTGGAGGTGCGGGAATTCAAGGCTTCGGAAAGTGTTTGGATTTAGGGTGGCTCATGGAGTGGTCGGGGTGGTGGCAGGTGGTAGTAGTCGCAGTTATACAGTTGGGAAAGAAACCACAGGCCCTGCCATAACTGCTATGATCCCTGTTAATTTTAGGAACCTAACCAGACCTAATCCCCTAACAGTAACAAGGCACAGTTGCAACTGCCGCGAAGCCTTTGCAAAGCCCTCTTTCGACTACAAGCACCCACGATTAGTAATAAAATCCATACAAACCCTTGTAGAAATTTCATAGGCATGCCCCCGACCTCACAGGATTCTTCTGGTGAGCTCGTGAAGGAAAACTCGCCCATCAAGGCATGCTCAGCCGAAGCTTTCGACGAAGTGCTTCGTATAGGGCTTTGATTCATGGCTGGAATGGGGCTTTGGGGTGTATTGAGGCTCAAGGCAGAGGCCTGAATAGCTAATCTAGGGTTTGGGGGCTTATCATGGCGTTGTTATAATAACTCAAAGGAATACTTCTGTTTCTTTGTCCAGCCCTTATATTAGGGATTCGCTTCGAGTTTCTAGGGTTTCAATCGTTGCAGCTTGAGAGACGAATGTAAAGTTAAGGGTTTGAGGCTTCCCTTTTTAGCTCAACCCGGACGAGACCATACACCCTAAACCCCGAACCTGAAGCAAAGGTTTTTGGCGTATGGGGGAGGGGATCCAGCTATGTCGGTACTGCAGAGGAGCCATCCAGCGCAGAAGACGGTTTTGCGGGAGCAATCTCTATCGGTTTCCCAAACTTCAAAGCTGAATCTCCTAGCCACAGAGGAAACAAGGGCCTCGTCTCTAGGAAGAGCGTGCCCGCAGAGAGCCCAAAAGTCCTGCAGCGCATCCGGTCCTCGGCAGGCATTGGCGTTCACCCTCTCGGAAACTGGTGACTTCCCAGCAGAAGGCGACAGGACAATTCAGAGTTAGAGTGTACTGGTCTTAACGGCAGCTTCGATCGTAGACCCTGAGCAGTTGCAGAATTTCACCCCGTGAATCTTCTCATCCAACCTTGCCGTATCTCCGACGGACTCGACTCATTAGTTCCGTCGGTTCTTTGTGGACATACCCAGAAACTGGCCATGCTGACCATCGCTGTCAAGGGGTCCAGCGCTCCAGGAACGTAGTGATCTGACTGACATCAAGACCTGGATACGGAATATCACTGACATTGAAGAGTTCCTCCACTCCGAGACGTGAAGTAGATCCTGTTTCTTAGGGCGTGGGGGTTCAGTTAGGATTTAGGGCTTGATTTAGAAAAAAACACTCCAACGGGATGTGTCCGAGGCTATGTTTCTCCTCGCCGACGGCTTCAGGAGGCTGGAGCTGGCAAGCTTCTCTCATGGGGGAAGGATTTGAACCTCGGGTTTGGGGTCGTCGTTGTCTCCCTTCTCTGCTTGTCTCTCCGTTGGCACAAGAAACGCCGTATAGGTTAAGGGAAGCCAGCGGCATTTGCAAGAGCATTGAGGTTGCTGGGCAGTCTCCGTGCACAAAGTCTTAGACAACCTCGACAGTGCCAGAAGAGTGTCATGAGGGTTTTACGTGTACTCTTAAGGGTTTTGAGGTTTGTGTGTTTATGATCTAGGCTCCTTGACGGCCTTGACGTTTCAGGGGAGCTGGTTCGATGGAAGCAGAACAATTGTTTGTGAAAGGGGCAGAGACGCCGGCGGAAGAGTCATCGTTGTAGCATCCACGAGCACCGTTCAAGCTAAGAGCACAACAGCCGGAAGCGACAGTTACCTCAAATTTCAACCCTCCAACAGAGATCCTCTTAGATCTGCAAGGAGGACTTTCAACACCTACAGCACCCAGTTATCACTCTGCCTTGCAAGGACAGAGCCCTGAAGGCAACCCTGAGCACGACGAACGCCAGCTGAAACCAACCAAGAACAACAAGGCGAAAGCTAAACTAACTTAAGTACTTAGCAGCACTTCATAGGCCAATAGCACCCTGTGGAGCGTGCTAAACAGAGGGAAGGTCTGCACCCGAAGCCCTGAAGCTTGTAAGCCATTGTTATCAAACCCTGTAAGAACCTATCGAGTTCTATGTTATCCCATGAAATTCCTGTAGAACCCTAGAAACACCCTGGAACAGAAGCCTCCCTCCGAGTGGTCCTTGTAGAAGGATGGCGAGTGGACGATTGAGCAGTGGAAGGCGGATGATGCTATGGAGCCCACGGAGTGGCTGAGCCGAAGTTTACGAAGGTTTCGGTGGTTTCGGTTCTTTAGAGTTTTGGATTTTCGAGTTTCGATTTTAGGGTCATGTGTTACATGAGGTTTAGGTTGTTGGGGCCCTGGGGCTTAGGGGTTCAGGGTTACAAGAGTTCTTCGTTTACGAAGAGTTTACAGGTTTACGTTTAGGTTTCGAATTCTCAGGATAGGCTTCAGGAGCGGTGATATGGGAATCTGTGTGACAATGGTCTCGACCTTGACATGCCGCCACCAATATGCAGTGAACAAGCATGATCTGCTGGATGCGGCCCGGACTCCTCGTAACACCGAATCAAAAGGCGAACAGTGCACAATGCAGGTGCGGGCATCAGAGATACTCACACTGTCTTGGATGCTTCCGTCACGAGGTCACGGTTCATCGGTTCCTGGTCTTCTCAAACCTGAACCCCCAGCAACCTATAAACCCCTAAGCCCTGGTTGAATAAGGTCGGTGGCATAAGCGCTTCAGAGCATGAAACAGCAGGAACATGCCCGTGAATCCTGAAACCTTAGTCCCCGAACTCTACCGCCCCAAGCCTGGGCTCTTACCTAAGCCCCTAAAGCCACTACATCCCCATACGCTCAGCAACAAACCGTATGAGGCCCTAAGCCCGAATGTCAGGTTGCATCCGTCCGTGGGTGGAGGCTCTCCGTTCAACGACACCGAGAGCTATTGCCTCGTTGTGCCTTGGCTCTTCTTCGATTTCGGCTTCAAGGTTGAGGGCTTTAGAGCTGTGTAGGGCCTACGTCGGGTCCTCCGTTTAATAGGATCAGAATCAAAGTTGAGAGGTTTGGGTTTGGGGGTTTGGGGCCCTTTCAGTTCAGCGTCTCGGTCTTGAGTTTAAGCACGGCTCCCCAGGACGCGAGAAGAGGGCTGAGTCTGAAGGGCCTAGCGGCTGTCGACAACAATGTGGGAATGTTAGGGCTGAAGGTCTAGAGATTAGGATTTCAGGGTTTCTTTTAGGCGGTAGGATCTGAAGTTCAGGCTGTTGCTCTGAACCATTGTTCTTCATTGCTAATTTTTGGAATGAACCCTGTAGAAACCCCTCATGGCACCCTGTAGCGACCCCGATAGATGGGCCCGAGAAGCCCCAGAGCAGCCCCTACAGCAGTGTAACAGGACCTTGAGAAGCCCCATCGAAACCCTAACAGAGGACTTTAAAAGCCTAACAAAGGACAAAGGACTCTAAAAGTCGCATAGAAACCCGTAGTAGTGGAACCGAATAGCAAGCCCCACAACCCTAAAACCAACCCTCACAACCCTAAACCCCAAACCCCCACAACCCTAAACCCCAAACCCCCACAACAGCAAACCCCAAGCGCCCACAACCCTAAACCCTAAGCCCTAAACCGAAAAATGCGAGTGTAAGGGAACTCCGAGAGCCGAGGACGACCTGGGAGACGCCACTCCGAAGGGCGAGGCGGAGGGATGCTAAGGTGAATGTAGGGTCCTTCGCAATGGGATAACAGTAACCAAAACTACGACATAATATCATTGCTACTAGTAGTAGTACTTGCATTCACAATACTAGTATTAATACAAGTAATGATACTAGGAATAGCCATAATGAGAATAACAAGTGTAATACTAAAAATGAGAATGCGTTCCTGTACGCGTTCCTCTAAAGAGTTCCTAAACGAGTTTTAAAGAGGGGCCTTCATAATGTTCATCAGAGTTTGGGGTAACCTATTAAATAGATAATGGTCATAGTCAGGAACCCTAAGGAGCAATAAGTATTGCTAGCTCAGGCTTCTACATTAGGGTTGAGGGTTAACTAGGGTTGCTATAATATAAAGGTCACTGCAAGTTCGAGGCGCAGAAGCGATTTACAGAGGGCTCGTATCAGGTTGCCGTAGGTGTTCTGCGTGGTGGCCCCCACAACACCACTGAAATCTTCGCGGAGTACCCTGGCTTGGGCTACGCTTTGACGAATCAGGGCTGAGCCGAAACGCTGTCCCGACACATGAATGCCCAGAGCTACAACCCCGGTCAGCACAGTCGTACCTTCTTTTTCTGCTGCCAAGAACGATCCGACTAGAAAGGTTTAAGGTGTGTGGCGCAGTGTTCGGAGCTGTCGTCGATTTGGGATGATGTTTGCGCCTTAATCGTGATCCTTGCTTGATCAATCCTTCTCCGATTTTTTGTCAGCATTAAGATCACACAGAAGGTTGGACTCACTTGTTGGGTTTCGGGCTTCCAGGTGGGCTCGGGGCGACAAGCATCACGAAAGTTGGCCTACTTGCACCTGAGACTTTAAAAGAGTTGTTGGGGTGAAGGGGGATGTTAAGGTGCGTGCACACACACACACACACTTACACTTTTGCACACAGTCACACACGCACACGCGCGCGCTCTCTCTCTCTCTCTCACACACACGCACGCGCACACGCATATCATATTATTGCACACGCACGCACACACGCACGCACATGCACATACATGTATAGGAACGACACCACGGGTGGCTTGTGTTGTGTTTGCCATCCTCTCGATTCCCTGCAGATGTCTGCCAGTCTTCTGTTCGGCCTGACAGAAGAGGCCACGGGAGGGATCAGGGCTCACCTGGGAACTTGCAGGTTTGTGGGTCAGGAACCCAAAGCTGCAGACTCTGTCAAGAGGCCTCCTGCTTTCAAGGTTGAGCTGTCTTAATTGTTCATACCCGTTGCTCCCAAGCAACAAGAACTCATTACCAAATATTTTGGGAGATCTCTCTTCATGTTATTGCAGTTTTGCTGCTGCCATGGCCGCCTTGTACTTGCAGAACCAAAGAATCTGCACAAGCCACAGATCCTGCATGACATGTTGATAAGTCGATCAGTGGAAGCAACGGAAAAGCTTTCCGAACTCTGCCGGTCAGGCACTGGAGCTTCGGTTCTGGATAGCAGGAAGGTGAACAGACTCTAACCTTCAAACCTCGCATACGCAGAACCACCTAAACTCTAAACCCTAAACCCTGACCTTCGCTCAGACGAAAAGGGCCACTACACTTTAATTGAAAAAAGAAAACCCTAACCTTTGCAAAACACAGGCGCCGCTGCCGGATGTGGACCCCTGGGGGCGTCAGACCTCAGTGGCATCAGCAGACCCTGAGCTGAGTAGGTTTGGAAAGCATAAGGATCTCAGTGTTTCCTTGACGGTGTGGCTATTGGGGTTTGGAGGGTTGGGGAGTAGGGTTTTTAGTTTGAGATTTATGTTGGTGCGACAAAAAGTTTACGGTATTCGGGCTCAGGGTTTCCGGTGGATAGGATGTTGTGTTTAAGCTTGCCGTTTTCTGTGATGGCTAATTCGGATGCAATGTTGCTGCAATTTCCAGGTCATTTAGTGGAAATATCCGGAGTTCATGGTCTCATGCTTCTGTTTCTTGATGTCGATTCAGGCACGCAAGGTGTGTGAAGGATTCGGAACCCGAAGCCCCCAACCCGACATCCTGAATCCTAAGTATCCTACTTGCTGAGCCCTGCGGCCCAACGAAACCCCAACTCCTGAACCCAACTCCCGCACCCTTGTGGGTTTGGAATCTTCGGTTTCTGGCCTGCTTTGGATTTTGTTGCAACTTTTTTTCAATAGGCTCTCTTGTGGATCAGGATCCGGATCAGAAGCCCCGGTGAGGATCCTACCGTATTCAAGGGTCCTCCTATAAATATCTATGGGATTCTAAAAATAAGGAGAATCCAGGTGCTTAGGGATTTCATAGGAGGGGAATCACCCTATCAACCCTATGAGACCTAAACAGCCTCGACGCGACACCCGTGATCAGGAATCTCCGAAGCTCTGAGCACGTCACATCTCCTACACCCTTGCACTGCAATGTCACAACGAGGTCTGAATTGTTAGCAAGCCCTGATGGTCCCGATATGCTTATTAGAAGAACCTCTGTTGAGATTTGGAAGACGCAGGTGTCTCCGTAATCCATGATCTTCAGAAATTCAGCGTATTCCGGCTATGCTCAGCGCATTGACTTTCTAAGTGTTCAAACAACCCGCACTCTGCCCGAAATTCAGGGCCTTGTTTGAGAGCAGCGTCCACTTTCAGTTACGGCCTCGGGCTGAAATAGGATTTAGAGCTTGGTGATGTAAGATCTCGCATCCTCAACCTCGAACTCTAAACCACATCCTCTTTCTAAGATTAACCGAAATCCCAAACCAAATGAGCAAGACTGCTTGAACCATATGATATACCTCTGTCCCAGCCGCATACAAACGCCAAGAAATCATGGCGGGCCACGGTCGATAGATCTCTCGGTGATGATGAGGATGATGATGTTGATGATGATGCTGATGATGGTGATGTTGTTGATGGCGATGATGCGGATATAGAGATGATAGGCAGCACATCTGGAGCAGCATCCGTTACTGCCAGTATGATGGATCAGACCGCGAAGCATCCGTACAGCCGTACGAACCATCGAGCAGCAGAAAGCCAAAGCCCCGAAATTTCAAGCCAGAGTCCAAAGAAACCTGGTAGCGAATCTTTCGCCCAAGGAGTCGGCCGTGGTTACGACGCCTTCACAATCGCTCAAGAAGCCGGCGCAGGACGTTGCACTGCGCCTCGGCTTGAGATCAAAGGCAAGTTCTCATGGCCACATCGGGGTTCCCGAAAATTACAGATGTCTGCTTAGTATGGATATCCCTAACCCCCCAGGTACCTACTACACAGGTACCTGGAGGGTTAGGGTACTATGGATATAAGGGTCCCATGATCTAAGAGTCTCTATCAGCTGTCCCCTGTTACTTTGCAGGCTTCACCCCAGTGTGTGCCGGGTCTTGCTCCGGGTTTGGGGCTTCGGGGGCATCAGGGCTCCCGAGCAAGATTTTGCCCGGGGGCCTTCCTCTGCACATCCGTGTCGCAGTCTCAGGTGGCCTCTGTAGCCTTAGTAGGTAAGGTCGGTAGAGGTAGAGATAGAGTAGTAGAATCTATGAAGTGAGCAGTTTTCGAAGGGTATGACTAGGAGTCAAGCCGAGAGCCGCACCTGAGCCATGAGCCTACTGTCCTACTCTGAACCTCCAAGCACAACATTCCTCTCAACATGGTTGTCGAGTCCATGAGGGCGAGGGTTATTATTCATGATCGTTATACTGTTGATGGTGATGATGATGTTCATGATGATGTTGATGCTGCTGATGATGAGTGAGTTCAGGACTATGGCAGCGATGATGGTGGTGATGGGTGGGGACGCATATACATATGGATGCGATGACAGGGTTGGTGCTGAAAGAAAACTTGTGTCAATGATGATGATGATCATCATGATGATGGTGGCACTGCCGCTGGTTATGGTGACTCCGCAACCAATCCATACTTTCCCTGATGTGCATCTGGCCTCCGTATGCCTGCTCAGGCATTCTTTCTGGCAAGAAGCCATCGAGCCTTCGAAGATGACTATGTGCTCTGTTTGTTGAAGTCTGCAGTCAAGGCTCTGCGTGGTCGTGCTTTTTTGGATAGGGTTGCTCGCCGTCCTTCGGGGCCAGCAAAGCCACTGAACTGATTTCCTACTGTAGCTGCGTTTGCAGTACCCACTCGCGAGAAGGTCGATGCTGAGCCCAATTGGAGAACAGAAGATGCGACGTAGATGTCAACACAGCAAACGCTTGCAGCAATCAGTGGAACAGTAATGGTAGTGCATGGAGTCGCAACAATCTGTGTGTGGGGGAGTGCGAATACTAGTATCTATGAAGCAAACATTAGTCCCGTGGCGGTTTCATAATGGTACCGTGACTTGATTCTGCAATCCATGCTGATCTTGCTCGCATGTGCTGGCTAGCTCCGTATCTCAGAAAAGCGAGGCCAACCCTATGTCCTACAAGCGTTGAAAATCGCCATCTTGTGGAGAAGACGAAGAGAAACAAAAACTGGGTGCAGGCAACACGAGCACCTTGCTAATGGTTCGAAATTCAGAATTCTGAGGTCCATCATGCATTAATTTTTTGTATCAGGGATTATAAGGGGTATGGTTACTATTTTTCCGACCCCTATAGCATGCAAAGTGCATTGGCAGGTCTATTTGTGAATTTGTGCCGATGCCTGAACTGGTCAGGGCACTCGCCGAGCATAGAGTAATGGCGATGTCATAACATGTTAAGGCTTAGGGTTCAGGGCTTTTGGGTCTGTAGGACTTTGGGTTTAGGGTTCGGAAGCTGTTCTCAAAGCGAGAAAGATTGTCGTGTCCACTGGGGTCATGAGTGTCGAGAGTAGACTACTACTTGCCGACTAGATTGTCGGACCTGTATTCGCGAAGCGAGCCAATGAGACATTCACCAGAGCAAGAACAACAGTCAGAAAATGATGAACAGCAGCAAACACATGTATAGCGGGAGCGGCAGCGGCAGCAGCAACAACAACGACAACAACACCGATGCCAACACGAATTAACACCAAACAGAAGCACCCACACCGACAGCAACAGCAACAGCAACAGCAACAGTAACAGCGGCAGCAGCAGCCACAGCACCAACACCAGCACCAGCGCCAGCACCAGCAACTGAAGCAGTACCGGTGGCGGTACCCGTAGCAGTAACAGACCGCAACAGCAACAGCAAAGGCACCAGCAACAGCAACATCCAGAGCATCCTGAGCACACATAGTGGAGAAAGTGCAGGCGGAAACAAACGTAACAAGACCCACCGGAAGATGAGAAACGTGTGTGGCAATTCCTCCGGCTAATATTCAAGAGCAAGACAATGCAATTCGATGAGCTACTCCACCCAAGCCCGCGATAAAACACGGCGACGAGTTCCCGTCGCTAGGGTTCAGGGTGTCGGGCTCAGGATGAGATCAAGGCCTTCACTTCAGTGTTCAGGGTCTCATGTTCAAGGTTCAGGGTTTCGGTAGTAGCAGAAACCCGGCCTTCTGTCTGGCCTGCAGCATTGGCATTCTTGTTCTAAGAAAATCCAGGCGCTGCTTCCTTCTCAACCTCTAGACTCGGGAACTTCACGACGGAAGGTTGTAGATATCCAGCCCCCTCACCTGCACCTTAAAGCCCGGCCGTATACCCTGGACCCTCAGCCCCAAACCTTAAGCCCTGACCTGACTTAAGCTAGACAAAGGACTGTCCCAAGCTGAAGCGCCGATCTGCCAAGAACCTCGCCAGACGCCCCTCGAGGCCTTGGGACAGCGGTGGTGAGGAGGGGTTAGGCTTTGAGATTCTATCGCTGCATATTTTGCATTGAGGAGTATGGTTTTTAAGAGGCCTAGCTAGGTTTTAAGTGTGGGTTTGGAGTCGAGCCGACACGTCTGTTTTGAGCCTATAGTGCGCAATCTTGAAGACGGCGGGCGGGCTCAGGCTTATGCCTATGGCCGTTGCATACAGCAGACGTATGTAGCCTACATCCGCAGCCCCTACAACACATGGGTAGTTGTCAAAATTATGGTCCCTTTTGGGGTACCCTAAATAATAGGTGCCGTATTATAAGAAGGACCCAAAAAGGCACCATAATTTTGACAACCACCCATATACCCTATCTGTACCCTTAAGGGACCCTAGAACCCCCCTAAGGGCCCATACTAGGGGACCATACTTCCACCCACATCTTCGGGAAGGTTCACCATCCGCTCCGGCCAGGACCTTCCGGTGGTGGAAGTACAGTATGTCCTCCTAGTATTGCTCTTGTGAAGGGCTCGTTTTGGGGCGGGGAGACTACTACTGTTGGTCTCCCCTTTATTTCGGATAGTGTTGTTTATCTCGTTCAACTCAACCCCCAAACAACTGCGTCTTCACCCATCAATCATGTACGACATGCTAAACTAACGTCCTGAGTCCCAGGCCTCAAAGATTCTCCACTTCGCAAACACCAATGCCAGACCCATGGCCCACCACTGACACCTTCCACTCTAAACTATCCAGGAGACGCCAGCTAAGTCGATACTTTCGCGAGTTTCCAGAGGCCTTTTTGTTCACCAAAGTGCCCCTGTACCAAAAGATGTCAAGAAAGCTGAGACTTCATTGGTAGTTGGATTGGTCTCAATCCATGGGATGCTCCCTCGCAGCCCTCGCACACCGAACCGAGGACTCAAGTCAGAGGTGAGAAAAAGCTTGAAGCCCGAAGAGAGAGAGAGAGAGAGAGAAAGAGACAGAGAGGAGAGAGTATAGATCAGTTCCAGAAGTAGCACAATATTTCGTACATGTGCTTGATATGGTAAGCCGCTCGGAAACCATACATAGATCCTCCAAGCTGATACAGCAGACAAATCGAAGGATCATTGAATCATGACCTTGCGGTCCCTGTAGCGGGCACATGAGCATACACCTCTACGTACCCGACAGGCCCAGTCAAAATGGGAGTTTCTGCAAATAGAGGCCCTGCTGTCGACTCACAAAACAGTGCCAGTAGGATGCGACATGTGAGGACACCACAAGCAACAAGTCACAGCTAACATAAAGAAGCGCCCAAATACACGGGCTCCTGCAGTTTTCAATCTGGAGCCGTGTTAGTTCCAGTTGACGTCGGAGGAGGTGATGAGCAACAGTTGCTTGCAGAAGCTCGTATCAAGGCCGGCGCATTTTTGCAAAGCCAATTTTGCACACGGTTTGGGGGCTTTCAAAGTGTCGGGATTTCAGTGTCCTGCCCTGAGTTTTGCCTGCTGGGCCCTGGACCTTGCACTATACAAGCTTTCGCCACTGAACATACAACCCCAAAGCCTCGAGTTCAGACGTATACTTCTCTAATGGTAACATAGCATGGGCGACCGGCACTGCAAGAAGCACGTAGCCTGCAGGAGGGGTTCCAGCATGAACCCCGCGCGGTCTTCTCTAATTTTACATAGTGCCGGAAGTAGCCCACAACCTTAAACCCAATCCTGAACGAGGAAACCCGAAAGAACCGTCCTAGTCAGGATATGCCTGGGAGAGGCTTCAAATGTCAACCCAAAGCCCGAAATATGGATTCTCAGAACTCAAGAAGTGCCGCAAATCCTCGGATCCCTACTTTAGGCACCCGCCATACAGCGACCTCATGGGGGCGTAGCTAAGGCTTTGTCTTAAGGCCTACGGACCCTGGATGGTCGTTTTTTGTTGCTTACAGTCATGCCCTTTTATGACGATGTTGGTGCCGGACGTTCTAAAGAAGAACTTGGCACGATCCAGTGGGTTTAGCAAAGGAAACACCCGATGAAGGCCTTAAGCGTGATAGGATCCCTTTTTAATTTAAGTGCTTCCCAGACCAAAACAGCTCCTTAATCACAGGAGGCCCGGACCCCTCCCTCCAGATTCGTTCTTCGTTGCTAAAGGCTGTATCGGAGTTCCATGAAAGGTCCGGGGTTGCGGTTTGGGAGGGGATAGGCTTGGGTATGTCGGGTTGAAGTTCCAGGAACCACGGCTAGAATTCAGGCATTAGAGTTTGGGGGTTTGAGTTTCGGGTTCTCGGGCATTGGAACTCGAATCTCTTAGTTGCTGCTTGAGATGGCGACTTGTCAACTTGGCTGGGCATTTGTCATCCGGCGACCCCTTGAATTTTCTGAGTATGCATACTCCTAGAAGATGCATTGTTGTCTGAGGACCAGAGAACTAGGCAACTTGGGTTCAGCTGCAACCCGGACAGGCCAAGCAGCTTGCAATGCCTTATCTGGGACGTCGTTCCTTGGATGCGGTTCGAACATGTTACTTTTCCTTGTCCCTGATAGGCATACTTGGGGATTCAGAGCGACTTGCCGTGCATCCTGCAGCATCTTCAAGTACACAAGCCTGAAAGTCTGAACCCACACTCCCTAAACCTTGAAATCCGAAGCCCTGAAAGCCTTAAGCCCTACACCCAAGACCTCAATCCACTAAATGTCACTGCCGCACTCAGGTTTGCTCCGTGACCATCGTCCATGACACCATCATGATTCCGCTCCTGACTGCTTTCCCACTGCGGTCAGAAGGCACCGGAGCTTGCTGTTCAGGGCGGGGGCATCTCCCCGACTTATCAAGCGGCCTGGGATGTTTTGCCAATGTGCGGCCAGCGTTTCCTCACGAATTAGTATAGTATCCCCTTGTAGTCGTGATATAAGAAGTGCAGGAAGCCATTTCCCACGCCCTTGTTTTTATCCTGAAGGCCCTCTATTGAATTTGTTCATGCACTTCAACCCAGTCAAAATTTCATCTCCAAAGCTGGCTGGGTTGGTTGAGGAGCCCCTTAACTTAAGAGTCTGGGGTCTTAGGCTTTAGGGTGAAGGGATTAGGGTTTGTGGCCTGACTCCAAGGACTGCACTTGCGGAAATGCACAAGACACATTGACGTACAAGCAATTCACTGCATGTGCCCATGCACTTGCATGTGTATGTCCTTCTGTAACTTTGAAGAAGATGTGCAGACGTCTTTCGGTGACGAGCCCACTCCACATGGTGATCTGGCATGCGAGTGTTCTTTGAGTCTTTATAAATGCTCCAGGGATCACAGGGAAAGTTGTGGGGTTCGTAAGCACGGCAATATTTGGGGCGGGGGTGTTAGGATTGTGGCTTTTCGCTGTTTCTAGTGTTGTGCCTGGTAGGTAGACGAATGAGTCATTTCTACACATGCCCTTTCCGTGACTGCATTGCTCCATGTTCAGGGTTCACTGATCTTGGGATTCCTGGGTCGTGCAGGCAGTGTAGAATGAAGATGTTGAGCAGTTGGGCTTAGGGCTGAGGTGCATATTATAGCATTGGGCACCCTTAATTGCAGCATACTCCTGGTTTTTTGAGACTTAAGCGATCAACGAGCCCAGCAAAGTTCGAGCCCTCTCACATACATGCTACCTGTACATGGGACGAGACAGTGTGCGGCTCTCAGCTTGTGCACTCTTTAACGGCTGTTTGAACATCAGGTATTGTGGAGTCGTTGGAGCTGACGAGCTGCATCGTGTGGATCATTGAGACTGGGCTTTTCTATTCTTTGACTGATGAGTTTAGGGGATGCGTATCTTATACCAAACAACAGCATTCTGCGGTGTTTGTAAGAATCACATGTTCTTTTACCCCACTCCCAGAGAACGTGCAGTGATCAAGCCTTCCTCGCCCGAGCACGCCATGCGTTCACATGAGAGGTCTAATCAATACCTAAAGATTTCGAACCATTCGTTCAAGCCCGACGCCCCTGATGATAGCTTTAGGGTTTTCCCATACATATATATTTATATATAATATACACACACTCACAAAATACCAACCGTGTCTCCGGACAGGGAGAAGGGAATTCAAGTCCTCGGGGCCAAGATTCTTTTCTCACGATCTGAGGCGTCGGGACGTTCAGGATTCTGGGTTTAAGCGAACTCCGAGGCAAGAACGTGTGAATCCGGAAGTTGAAGTCACGCTGCCCTGCAGTTTTGGAGACATTTGCTTTATCGCAGAGGGCTAGGAAACTACGAGACTGGGCTTCCTTTATACCTTTGGATGACTTCTTGAGCGAAACAAAGACGACCTGAGTTCCTAGTCGTGGTTCGATTCGATCCAAGGACATTGTTGTTACCTTCCTCCGTGGGTTTATCAACCCACGCACAGGCCGGACGGTGCCCCTCACCCCCCGGTGATTCACCCGGCCCCGCTGGAGAGCCTGCCGCAGCCGTAAACATTGTCATGTCCTGGTTTGCATCTCATGTTGCCCCATACCTGCCCATTACGCCTCGGTCTAGTCCAAGCACCTCCACTGGCCTCGAAGGCATGCCGAAGCGAGAGCTTTGGGGCCGGAGCATATGCTATACAGTATACTACATCGATAGCTGAGGGTTGGGATAGGCTCAGGGCTTAAATTTTTTTGGGCCTGCAGCTCGGCAGACTATTGCAGTGTTCGTATTTGTTCGTTGTGGTTTGGGAGCGGTCGTGGCTAGCTCCGCACTGGCACGAGTGTTGTGTAGCATCTTGCCGTAGAGCACATCTTGTCTGTCTTAAGATCACGATTGCTGCTGGGAGTCATTGCGATGAAGATGCTTAGTGGCTTAGTGTACTTTGGAACTGTATTCATGTTGTTGTGGTATGGCTTGCACCCCCCCCCCCCCCAATGTTTGCAGGTTTCGTGGAGATGCGCTTGAAACAGATTACATTAAACTACCTCACCGGCTGGTTTGTGCCGGATCTGGCCATGCTCTCCTCTGACATTATGTCCCTGCTTCTGGTCTGCACCGTTTGTTTGGGGCTAGGCGGCCTTGAAGAGAGTCATGAGCCCTACCCCAAGCCTTCTGCAAAAGATCCCTCACCCAATGTATTCCTTCGTTACAGTAGTCATTCCGAGCGGTAAGAGAGACGTGAGAAGCCTTAAGAAAACATTGGGACCTGGATCGGGTGCTGCCCACTCACCTGCAGACCCCCAGTAGTCCTCCCATATCTGGTCTTTTAACAGTTCAACATTCAGGGTCAATGTGATTCGCAGTGGAGGCGCACACATCTCTTGGTCCCTGCACTTGCACACTCTGATGTTGGGTTCGAGTTTGGGGGGTAAGGCTTTTGGGGTCTAGGCTTTATTCAGGATGTGGTGTGCAGAAGTTTAGGGTACTGTAGGTGTGAGGGAAGGCTAAGAAATTTGAATGTACTGCAGCCTTTGCCCGCTGCCCTTGTAGTGTTCCTTGTTCTAGGGGATGAGGGTATAGTCGACTGCTTTAGAGTTGAAGGACGTCCTTGTACGAAACACGGTAAATGAAGTCGTTCCATGCTTGTTGGGTCCAGATGCGCGACTTTTGCATATCCCAGTTTCTGCAAAGCACGAGCGCAAGCGCAACTCGCAATACTTCCGAGACACAAACGAAGGGCCCGTGGCAGCGAGCCCCCCGCAATCTTGCGAACGCAGCCATGTAGGATCAAGCAGTTAAGGTTAAGACTTCAAGGGTTTCGAGTTGCGGGGCTTAGGCGTCTGAACTTAGGGTGACAGCTTTCTCCTTTTATTACAACATAACCCGAAATCAAAGTTTGCAGAGCTCCAAAACCCTACAGCCTTCAGACAATTTAGCTGTGCAGTTAGCCTCATAACTCATAACCCGAAAATGCATACATGCATATGTTAAGTAGCATGTGCACTCAACTTATCAGTGCTGCATCAGGTTTGCACTCGATCTCCGCACCGTGGAGACGTTGACGTTGCTGCGCTTGTTTCGAAACCTCCGGCTGTTTCGGCTGCTTCCTGGAAGCACTTCATCCTTAATCACTTCAGTGCTGCGGCTACTTACGCAGACCTGGATATGCCTGCCTATATGGTCAGCCCTTCGCAGACATTCTTGCCCTCGGTACCGAACAGGGAACATGATGAGGAAGAGGCAGATGAGGAAGCCAACGATATCAGCATCGAATCGCTTTTCGGATAACGGTCGCTGCCACTTGCTGCGTCCTCATACGGTATTCCCGACGGCGGAAGTAGCAGCACAAAGCAGGTTAAACTTTAGGGACAGGGTTCAGGCAGCATTTCTTTGAGTCTCTCTTACCGTATGCCTTTGGGAGGCGCGGGTTCTTTCTCCTGCAGTCATGACTTGTACTCCCGAAATCTGCAGACCTAGGGTTCTTGTTCAGGGATTTGTTTCAGGTTACCAGGATACAGAAATACATTATTTGCTATGGATCCCGGTGATGCTAACTTACACTAAAATCCTTAACTACAGCCCGGAATCTGGCACCCCAGGCCTGACGACCGAAAACTGAAGCCCGAAGAGACCCCAAAAATCTCTAGTTTTCTTCGCCAGACCCACAAGCCCCGGTCCTTTAAAGGCCGAAGAAGCCTCTAGCAACTTTGCAGCCGGAAAAGCGGCGGCTTTGCCGCTCCGACCTCTGTACCGGAACATGTGGGAACCTGGGCGCGAGGTAGTTGCCCCGGTGCCTTCATTAGGGAGTGTTTGGGGAGTGGTTTTTTCTTATCATGACGCTCATGTAGTAGACGCTGTGATATGGATCGTAGCCTCTGGTTTTTGATCCGAATTCTAAGAAGACCTAAACAAGGATCCGCTTTTAGAAATCTTCTTTCTATTGGGACCCCCTTTTTTGCCCCTGACCTAAACTCGAGCTGAAATGGTTGTCCGGACACTGCTCTCCTTTGGCCGACGCAAGAAACCCTCAACCCTTTGATAGGACCCTGCATTTATGGCTTCGGGGTTTGGGGTTGATGGACTGCAATATGCTCAAGGTTAAAAATGGCTGGGCGGCTGTCGTTGATCAAGGAGCTTGTGCTAGGATTGCTCCTCGGCTCTCGATGAGAGTTGTGCTTTAGGGGTTGAAGGTTCCGGGGGTGATTATTGATTTGTGGATTTTGGGGATCTGTGCCTTTCGCGGTGTGGTCATTACACCTTTGAACCGGAAGCCTCCGAGTCCTCATGCCCCGAACAACATCTCCCCCAGCGCTATCTCCGAACCCTAAAGAGCCCTAAACACCCCAAAGTGAATCCTCCGTTTCACCCTGAGGAACATGGGACTGGAGTGGACCTCACTCTACGTGGAGACCTTCCTCACCGTTTTGAAGTATCTGGGCCCTGGTGCACCAGATACCTATAGTCATGACAGGTTACGATATTCTTGGTTTGTGGTCGCAGTCGGGTTACTATGCCTATGTGGGTTTAGGGTTTCATTCGGTCTAGGACTTCGGGTTTAGGTCTAGGGTTTGGTGTTTAGGGTCTGGGGTTGAATCCTGCAGGTGCATCCAAAATGTCGCTGCTCGCTTGTTCCGCGGTTCTCTTGGGATCCAAGGCACGTTTCCATCATCGCTCTGCTTTGCCACTTCACGGCTTGCGCCTGGTGACCTTGCCAAATTGAGCCGGGTTTCGATCTCCAGGTAACATTCCCTAACCTCCCAGGTACCTACTATATGGGGCCCTAGGAGCTATAGTACCCTGTATAGTCGATATCTGGGGGGTTAGGGATTAGGTACTGCTGATCCCTGTGCAAAGGGCATACAGAAATTCTTCGCCATTGAATCCGGTTGCTTTGCTCAGGTTGGTGTTTGGAGTTTAAATAGGGTTCCCGGTTTCCGCCGCAGCCGGTCCGGTTCAGTGCCTCGACACCGGATTGCTGCGCCTTGTCCTTGCTCCTTCGGGGGGAAACCGACTTTATTTTGGATGTAGGTGGTATGGCAGACGGAATATCTGGCCACACGGTCTTCGAATGCCACGACGGGAACGTGCTGTCTGGTTCCTAGCATCGTAACTCCGTTCTAAACCCTTATAATATAAACCATAAACATTCCTAAAGCGTACAGCCTGCTTTAGGATAGACTTGAGTTCAGTTCGGATCTTGGAAATTCTTTTGTTCAAAAGGCCGACTCAGAGCCACAGTCAGGCAGGCCGGAGGCTGGCTGCAATCCCTGCATAAACCCTAGGAGACCCGACAAATGAATACCAAGCCTTCCGTGCATGCAGCGTGTGCAATGTATGCATGCATGCATGCATAATCTCAGTCTGATCTACACTCATAAACCCCTTTATCAAGCCTGAGGTATGCCTTGGGCGACCTCTCGTCCGACGAGATGACATGGATAGCCACTTACAGGGAGAAGCTGAACCTTCCGGAGGACACTGGCTGGTCCTCCAATCTCTACAACCCCGAAACCCAAACTCTAATCCCCTAGACACTTTAGGGTCAAGGGTTTAGGGTACTTTACGGTTTAGGGTTTAGGGTTCCTCACTTTCGGGTGTAAGGGTGAAGGATTTAGGGCTGAGCTTGCCGGAGGACACGGGCTGGTCCTTCTTCTACGCCCTCTCCCTCCACTGGGCTCTCACCCAGTTCCTCGGCGGTTCTTATCTAGTACGGTACGGAATCTTAACACGACACAGAGTGTATATGAATTTGTATAGAAGCAAGCACAGAAACGTAGACATGCACAAATATGTGTATATATGATATGTGTATATGATATGTGTATATATATATATATATCTGTACAAATATATACAAGTACATACATATATATATATATATATACATATACACACATACATACATATATATATATATATATATGTAAGAGAAACCTTTCTGTATAATGTGTTGCTCTGGGTCTGCTGGGGGAAGGTTTAGATAGTTTAGATAGTTTGGGGGGCCGGGCGGGGAGCCC